TATAAACTATGTATTTACTCTCATTTTTTTTTCAGTGCATAAATCAGTATCTGCCCAACAACATAAGTCTTTTTACCAGTTTCACATTTGCCACAAGAAACTGGGTTTTCTCCTTTTTTCTTTTTTCCCCACAAAAGCTAATTAATATTTTTCTTTTTAAGAAAGCAGTGCGTTCCTTTTTTTAATGTATGTGCTCTGGTCAAATCTCCACAGTGGACTGGTTTCCTGGACATGTCCTGCAGCAAGTGCTGGCTTTCAGGCAACTTACGGGGATAAGCTAGTGTGGTTTTATTCAAAACCAAAGTCAGGGTCTAATTTTACAATCAGACATGGCTTTTATGGGGCCCTGAGGTTTTTGTCACCTTACCTCTGGCACAGGGAGTAGTCCCTGAGTCTTTGACTGTCATATTTGGGGTTTTATCAGCTACACCTGGGTGATCTACCTGCAGCCTTGGTGCAGGTGACAAATCCCTGGGAATCTGGTTAGCAAGGCAGAAAACTAGCTCTTCAGGCCAATGAGACTTGCAGTCAGTGCTCCCTGCTGCTCACTCAATATGTCTCTGTATTTGAGGATGCAGATATTAAAAACAAAAACAAAAACAAACTCCGAAGAGTTTAGAACCAGAAAACAGGAAAGTATTGTTCCAAGAGCAGATCGTTCATCTTATTGCCTCCTGGCATCATAAGTTCATAACCGAAAAGTCCCCATTTGACAATGTGTGGCAGTTGTCAGTTTGAGCCCTTACCTTCTCTTTGTCAAGGGTCAAATATGGCATTCTTGGTGCCAATTTCTCTGGACTCCCAGATGACTGGAAGGTGTTCCTGATAGCTTCCAAGCCCCTGAACAAGGAACCAGTGTTTATACCCATCAAGGACAATTTTTGACTTGCTGATATTTTTATTTATCACTTGTGGTCTTGACCTCCTGTCCCTTCATAACAAGTGACAGGTGTGTGAGGAGGCCCATCGCAGAGTCTCCCTGAGTCAACTTGGTTGAGAGATGGGACTCAGGAAGGAAGGAGAGCAGGTCCTAAATGCCATGGGACATACCTGATGTCTGGCACATGGAGAATTTTGGGAGGGTCACATGGAAGCATCAAAGGATAATTTTCAGAAGGTTACAAACCTGATCCACTTATAAATATAGAATGTTGAGGGGGAATTCCTAAGTTAGTTACAAAATTGGCTTATTTTCCGCAGAGCAATAAAACCATACCCCTAGAGTAAACCTTTCTATTAGACAGTAGTCATTTGCACCTCTCAGAGGAAAAAAAACAAAAAACAAAAAACCACAAGTGAACACATGACTTTAGAGTCTGGCTTTTAATCAATAATGAACAGAACATCAAATAGAGGTATATCCCCTGGATAACTCAAAAATCCTCATCAGACCCATTGAACAATATCTAAAATGGCATGAAAAACACATGTTGACTTCTCTGGGTCTTATTCCATCTGACCCTGGGTCTTGACCAACTGTCCCTGACTTCTTTGGAGACACTAGAAATGCATCTACTAAGTCCAATCTAAGTGTACCAACTGCATAGAAAGGGAAATGCCCCCCCCCAAACCAGAGCAGACATGGAAAATCTCTCTGCAACCCACCCACACTGCTTCTGTTCCAGCAGGCCCCTGGAATCCAGGCAGTCCTGACGTTCTCCCAGGTCAGGTGAACAGATCAGGGGTAGGTTCAGTGATGACAGTGCTGCAGTAGGAAGCGTCAGACCTGGGACAGCACTCACATCCTCTGAGATGGAGACCAGGACCAGGCTGCGCTCTCCACATGGCCCCCTGGCCCCTTCCCAGGTTTGAGGCCCTGAGCTCCCAGCCACTGCTGTCCATGTGTCCTCAGAGTGCTCACCTCTGGTCCTGGCAGACCCCTGCCTCTGACCTCATTTCCCACCAGCCTGTCGGTTCTCAGTGACCCAGCCTAGGATTGGGCTAAATGCATTCATTCCTTGTTCTCACACACAGCATGACCATGACCAGTCATCACAGCCCCATACCAGTTCTGAGTCTGGGAAGCTCCTAAACCATGTGGCTTATCTGGTCAAGCCCCATTTCCCTGATGTCCATGGCCTCCCGTGGCTCCAGGGCTCTTGTGTCCCAGACTCAGATGGACAGTGCTTGGGGTCCAGGGCTCACAGGTAGAGTTTCAGTAGAACCTAATGGAGACTGCAGGTCCTATCTTGGGGGACTCCTCTCCTCCACAGGGGAAGTGAATTTGTGTGTGTGTGTGTGTGTGTGTGTGTGTGAGAGAGAGAGAGAGAGAGAGAGAGAAAGTGCAGTCCAGTAACATCTTAGCAGAAAGGACATGAAATCCAGCAAAGGAAAGTAAGGCCTGCCTTGCATTTTATTTCATGAAATGAAAGAGATTTGGAGAGACAGGTTGAAAAGAGATGAGGTTAAAATAAATAAAATTTTAATGTTAAAGTATACTTAGAAATAGATCCCTGCATGTAAATGCATATGCACACAGGACATGTCTCTGGGCCCGTGGGGGAAGCTAACCCAAACAGAGCACAAGTAGTGGTCACCCCCATCCCCAGCGTGTCCAAGCTGGTCCACACTGCCCTGCTGGCCTGCTCCAGACATCTGATTCCCTGTGGTTCCTGCCTACCTGTCCATAAGGAAAGACAATTCCAAGATTTTGTTCCAAAAACACAGTCTTTCCTAAGACATTTACATATGAATTAGACTGTTCCACAAACAGCGGAGACCCATGGAGCCTTAAGCTGACCAGTCCCGCAAGCCCCTCCAAAGCTGGGTGATGGGTCTGCTGCCCGCACATGGGGAGTTCCATCAGTGTGTCAGAGGTGGAGGTGTGGGGGTTAGGGGGTAATTTTTGATGGAGCCTCCTGGCCCGAAGGAAAGAATACTTTTTAATCAGGATAAGTATATTAGGTCCAAGAAATGCAAAAATCTGTACCAGATCCAAACCCTAGTCCCTTAATTAGAGGAGGATCTTGAGAGGGGGAAGAGGAAACAGGGCAGGGGCTTCATCAGAAGAAAGTGGGCGTGGAAGTGGGTGTGCCTGGAAGAAAATCATGGGGCCTGATGGGGGGAGAGCAGGGAGAGACGCAGGAAAAGCAAGGACTTTGCAAGGTGAATGTCACTTGTCCCTGCTGCTTCCAAGTGATGCAGTATCCCTACCCATGAAACATCAGTTGGGTAAAACACAGGAACGAGAGGTAAAAGGAATGGGCTTTGAGTTTCATGGCCTCATTCAGTCTGGGGCAGAAATACTGCAATCTCTACCACCTGCCAGGCCCTGTGAGGTGAAGCCTGGCCCGTGTGTGTGCACATTTGAAATATAGTTGGCCTTCTGAATTTTACCCACCACCATGGTTAAAACAGACACATCTACTTATTTTTTTTATTTTTGATCTTGGTAAATACATATAAAATCTACCATCTTCACCATTTTTAAGTATACAGTTCAGTAGTGTTAAATATATAGTTACTCTGTTGTGAAACTAGTCTCCAGAACTCTTTTCATCTTGCAAAACTGAAACTTAGTACCATTAAATAATTCCCCGTTAGACTGACTTATTTTTTTGAGAATTTCTTTATTGTTATGTTAATCACCATACATTACATCATTAGTTTTAGATGTAGTGTTCCATGATTCATTGTTTGCATACAACACCCAGTGCTCCATGCAGAATGTGCCCTCTTTAATACCCATCACCACGCTAACCCATCCTCCCACCCCCTCCCCTCTAGAACCCTCAGTTTGTTTTTCAGAGTCCATCATCTCTCATGGGTCGTCTCCCCCTCCGATTTCCCCCCACTTCATTCTTCCCCTCCTGCTATCTTCTTCTTCTTCTTTTTTTTTTTCCAACATATATTGCATTATTTGTTTCAGAGGTACAGATCTGTGATTCAGCAGTCTTGCACAATTCACAGTGCTCACCATAGCACATACCCTCCCCAATGTCTGTCACCCAGC